GTAAATTCATATGGAGCCACTTTATTGAGGGCCTACGAGGTGGTGCTGAAGTATTTGGATTTTATTCTAGAATAGTAAAGAGCCCTAAAATGACCAATACAATTGTGTCTACCTTCCCCAAACCTGACACAGCAGAGCAGTTATTATCTAAAAGTTTTCTGTCTGCTACCCCTTTTCTGGTCCTTTGGCTAGAAAGAGCAGGCTTTTGTTGGGCCTTTTGTCTAGCATCTTTAGAGCCATTTTCTTTGGCTCCAAGAGTGGGGTATTTGAGGCAAAAAGAAAACCTGGGGAACTCACCACCATGTTGTTTCTTGGGTCCCAATATTTCTAGCCAGCCTTCCTTCTTCCCTTCTTCTCTCAGCCTTTACGAGTCTTCTGCTTTTTTTTTTTTTTCTCCTAATATAGTATCTATGCTTTTGAATTGTACTTAGTAGGAAGAATAAGAAAAAGTATATCTAATCCATTTTTTCAGAATAAAAAATCTCACAATTGACTTTTATTTCCTTTTCACATCTTAGTATGCTTCCACCTGAGCTTGCAACAATAACACAGCAGGTCACAAGTTGAGTGTCTACTATAACAAAAGGTAAACCATGTGAGGGAGAATAAATACTCAACTTCAGGGCCTGCTTTCAGTCTTTTGACTTTTGGTGACTATCAGAATTTTTATCTTCTTATTCTTTGGAAAGGGAGTTTTATATATCAATTTTAGCCAAACTCACCTTTAAATGTTAGTGTCACCTTTTCCTTCATGGGGGAGCCCCCATCCTAGCTGCCTTTCTTAGTCCTTTTGTAATCCCAACTGAGGCTTATAGGTTACAGCCTCTGGGAAAAAGCATAATGGTTTGGGGGAATTAGATCATAAGCTGACTGTCAAGGGAAATAGCTGGTGCCTTGGGTTAAATGTTCCCCTCAAACTTAATTCCCACTATAACTGTTGAGGATGGGAAATCCTATTATGTAATTGAAAGGTGGGACCTTGAAGAGGTGATTAATTGTAGGACCATGTAGTAGTGAATGGATTAATAATGGGGGTCAGGGATGTGGTTCAGAGGGCTTTAAAAGGAGAGTGAATGAAGAGGTTAGTCTCTCTCTGCTCTGCCATTTTCACAATGTCATACACTGTCATCACTGAAGTCACCACCCAAGGAAGCCTTCACCAGGTGTGTTCACTGGACTTTGGACTTCCTAGACTCTGAAACTGGAAGCAACAAATTTTTGTTTTCTTTATCAGTCACCCAGTTAGTTCTGTGTTCTTGACCTTTGAGCCAAATGTTTGATGTATGACAAGTGCTCAACAGACTACTATTGAAATAGGTTCCCCTCCATCCCATGGTTCAGAGCCTTTATTCTAATTTAGTAAGAAGGACTATAGGCATCTCATTGGCATCTCTTCTCTTAGAGTATAGAGATAAATATATGAAATAGTCCCCAGTTACCAAATTTTTTCCATTGAAATTCTATTTGAACTTTTGTGTTGGGAAAAACTAGAGCAGAGGCAAGGGATTTTTCATATCCATTCCTTGCTCTTTGCTGCTGGAATTTGTATCACAAGGGGATTACTTGTATAAATTACATTTTCTAGGCTCCTTTGCCAACTGGTTTCCCCTTATATTTGGGAAATGGAACGTATTTGTGGGATATTAGAATGTGGGAAGAAGTGGGAAGCTAGGGTGACTTTCTCTTTCTCTCTTTGCTTTGGGAGGCATCTTTTGAAACGACTGTAACTCTTTAGAGGCTATAACTCTTACTGGACAGCTTGTCCTTTTCTATTCCAAATTCCCCATTTGATAGTGCTGGTTCCTGCACTCCAGTAAGGCCACTACCTTCTTTTTCTTTCCAGCTCCAGGAATGATAGTGAAGTTTTACTTTAAATACATCATTCAAATCTTCTCTATGATATTATTATACCTTTATTACTCTCACTAAAGTAAGGCCACTACCTTCTTTTTCTTTCCAGCTCCAGGAATGATAGTGAAGTTTTACTTTAATTACATCATTCAAATCTTCTCTATGATATTATTATACCTTTATTACTCTCACTACCCCTAAGATCACACAGACAGTAAGTGGTACAGGTAGGATTTGAACTGTGGTAACCAAACCCCCAACTTCTATCCACTCCCCAGTGGACTGTAGCTGCATTAAGCCATGTTGAACTGTTAACCCTCTCAAAATGAAATTCAGATCTTCAGAGTAGCTCTTTTCCTAAAGCCTCATAGATAATTCAAGGTAAATCTCATATTGGAATTTTCTTTAACATCCCACTGTAGATGATATTTTATGTAATGGTACGCTGAGAAATCTACAAATATATATATATATATATATATATATATAGGACTGTAGCTGCATTAAGCCATGTTGAACTGTTAACCCTCTCAAAATGAAATTCAGATCTTCAGAGTAGCTCTGTTCCTAAAGCCTGATAGATAATTCAAGGTAAATTTCATATTGGAATTTTCTTTAACATCCCACTGTAGATGATATTTTATGTAATGGTACGCTGAGAAATCTACAAATATATTTTTTAAATTTTGAGTTAATTATGCTTATCTCTCTATATTATGCTGAAAGAAATGATTCCACAAGTGCTGTTCAACTTTCATTTTGACTAACCACAGAGGAGGTTGACTTCTATAATTCTTGGAGATATTTTTACTTTCTCTCAGCCTATTCTTTAGCAAAATTTTATAATACTGTGTTTTTCTTTCTGTGGAGATGGTAAGGCAAAATTGTGCGGCTTACAACAAGAAAGCTTGCTTCCACATATACAACCAGGAGGAAATCACTTTTTGTAAAGACTGACCTTTTAGCTTGGTATTGACATTTCAGTCTCTTGATTTTTAAGAGGTAACTTCCCAATTGTTTTCTGAGAGGCTTTCCATCTGGTTGTCAGCTAAAATAAAATTTTAGTGCATTCTCAGATGAGGTCTTCTTCTCTGTGTGCTAAGGGTTTATTATTTATCAATACCAAGGCTATCTGTATCTGACTCTATCTCCATTTTAAATTATGTTTAAATTTGTCAACATTATGTTTAAGCAGATCCTTCTGTGGCTTCGAGTCTTAAAGGAAAATTGAAGACAATATAATAATTTAATATTTTTAAAGAAGAGTCAGTAGAAGTCAAAAAGTTCAGATACATTTTCCTTTTTTAATAAATACATAAAGCTCTTTACCGTTTCCCTCAATTATTTTGATTAACAAGATAATAGGATCTTTCAGAGCATCATTATATCAATTTTCACAGCCTCATGTAAAAGACTCATTTCACAGAAATAATCATGAGTAGCATTAATAGATGAATGTCAATGTTATAACACAACAGTATAAGGCATATTTACACCATCTTAACATACAGAAACACCATACACATACACAAAAAAATCACAGGTCCGGAACAAAGTAAATTCAGTCTCCTAGACAGCTTATATTATAGGCTTTGCCTGAAACTTTATTTTTTTGCTTTATTTTTTGTAATTATTTTCTTTCCAAGCAACAAACAGATCTTCCCTATTTCTTGTGATTTATTTGTAACATTGTGATCATGCAAAAATAATACTTTTTTATTGCATTAACATTTAAACAGTTTTGGATTTAGGTCATAAAACAACCATCCAAAATTTTTCTTGATGTTGCTTCATTCATATTTTCATTTTAGTTGGTGTAATATGATGATTTGTTTTTGGTGAGTTACAAAATGACAAACATGTCCAGTTGACCACAGTTCAAAAATCAAGATTTTAAGCTTCTTGATCATGCACATTTTGCCTTCATTCTTACAAAATGGCTTCAATCAGATACACCATTTTGATTCCACATTTATTAAGCTTCATTTTTTTCCTTTTTTTGTCAAGTTTCTGAAAACAATAACAACAGAAGAATGAAAGAAAATACTATCCAACATNATATACAACCAGGAGGAAATCACTTTTTGTAAAGACTGACCTTTTAGCTTGGTATTGACATTTCAGTCTCTTGATTTTTAAGAGGTAACTTCCCAATTGTTTTCTGAGAGGCTTTCCATCTGGTTGTCAGCTAAAATAAAATTTTAGTGCATTCTCAGATGAGGTCTTCTTCTCTGTGTGCTAAGGGTTTATTATTTATCAATACCAAGGCTATCTGTATCTGACTCTATCTCCATTTTAAATTATGTTTAAATTTGTCAACATTATGTTTAAGCAGATCCTTCTGTGGCTTCGAGTCTTAAAGGAAAATTGAAGACAATATAATAATTTAATATTTTTAAAGAAGAGTCAGTAGAAGTCAAAAAGTTCAGATACATTTTCCTTTTTTAATAAATACATAAAGCTCTTTACCGTTTCCCTCAATTATTTTGATTAACAAGATAATAGGATCTTTCAGAGCATCATTATATCAATTTTCACAGCCTCATGTAAAAGACTCATTTCACAGAAATAATCATGAGTAGCATTAATAGATGAATGTCAATGTTATAACACAACAGTATAAGGCATATTTACACCATCTTAACATACAGAAACACCATACACATACACAAAAAAATCACAGGTCCGGAACAAAGTAAATTCAGTCTCCTAGACAGCTTATATTATAGGCTTTGCCTGAAACTTTATTTTTTTGCTTTATTTTTTGTAATTATTTTCTTTCCAAGCAACAAACAGATCTTCCCTATTTCTTGTGATTTATTTGTAACATTGTGATCATGCAAAAATAATACTTTTTTATTGCATTAACATTTAAACAGTTTTGGATTTAGGTCATAAAACAACCATCCAAAATTTTTCTTGATGTTGCTTCATTCATATTTTCATTTTAGTTGGTGTAATATGATGATTTGTTTTTGGTGAGTTACAAAATGACAAACATGTCCAGTTGACCACAGTTCAAAAATCAAGATTTTAAGCTTCTTGATCATGCACATTTTGCCTTCATTCTTACAAAATGGCTTGAATCAGATACACCATTTTGGTTCCACATTTATTAAGCTTCATTTTTTTCCAAAATCAAGATTTTAAGCTTCTTGATCATGCACATTTTGCCTTCATTCTTACAAAATGGCTTCAATCAGATACACCATTTTGATTCCACATTTATTAAGCTTCATTTTTTTCCTTTTTTGTCAAGTTTCTGAAAACAATAACAACAGAAGAATGAAAGAAAATACTATCCAACATCCACCATTCACAAAAAGGAAGAGCAGCAAGAATCACACTGACTATTGTGAGGACATCAGTCAGGTGGTGACACTGTAGTAAACATCGAATGTCACTGAAATACTCCAGGAACGTGAGAATTACTATAACCCGTACTTCTGCAGCAGTTCAGATTGCCACTGGCGTTTGCGCTCCGGAAAATAATCTGGAATATGGATTTTTTTAAAATCCTGAATACACTTTTTCATTTCTTCTTCCACACTTAGCTTCTCACAGACTTTCTTTTTGGAAAGGTTTGTCTCCCGGGACTTGCTGATGAGTGTCTGAAAGAGTTCACTGTTTCTGCGTTTGTCTGGTGGGGGCATCCATTGCACAGGCGCTTTTTTGGAAGGACGATCCAATGTTAAGGTGTTAGGTTGGTGAGCGGTGGCCTGCTGGGCATTGGGTGGGTTGTCCTGGGGTGTGCTCGCCTCTGAGTGGCTGTCACAACTGGAAGTGGAGAGCTCATTACAGGAAGTCCCACTTTCACTTCCTTTATCTGTGACTTTGTCCTGTTTCCTATCTTCATGTTCTTGTTTAGGTGACACTATTTTCTGAGGTGGTCCTAAAAAGGAAAAAAAAAACAAAAAAAAAACAAAAAGGAATAGAACAATTGATTAAAAAGTGAAAAAGTCAAATTAAATAAATTCTGTATTTTCTATTTTAAACCAAGAATATTTACCTAAAGAAAAATGGTCTTTGTTACACTAGTCTATGTTTGAGGGATTAAATACATCTAGAGCCTTTTGTACATTGAAACATGCAGTATACTGATTAATTATTTATAACAAAGTTTGAGATGTTTGCTTAGTGAGCATTTTTGACATAATAGATCATCAATAGCTTTATGCTGAAAAGAAGACTTTTGTTATTTTAGTTGCTAGTTTCTGAAATCTGAAAAAGATATATGTAAATATTTTGCTAGTCCTATATCTGTTTAATTAGACACTTAGTTCATTTCTATTCTAGCCACTGCATTAGGTGTTCTTTGTGCATATATCCTGCCATTGTAGAAGCAGGAGAGTACCATCGCTCTATTTTACAAAGTAGCAGTAGTCACCAGGCCCAGAGGTGCAATAGCATCATTTATGCTTCCAAGTGGGAGGCTGGCTTAAATCTTATCCTCAGTCTCAATCTTGTTTCCTGTCTATTTCCTTGGAGAGACTTATGAAACTGCTGTAAGATAAATGTGGGCCTAATATTACAGTGAGAAAATATAGTTGAAATATAG